ACTTGCATAGACAGGAAGGGGGCATTGAATCCCCTCGAACTGGTTGTTAGCTGCCATGTGGGTGCTGGGAACAGAACCCCGGTCCTCTGCAAGAGCAGCTAGTGTTCTTAACTGCTAAGCCGCCTCCCTAGCCCTGAGTTCTGCTTAGGAAGCAGATATTTAAGTTAAACATGCCCTTTCCCACCATAACATGCTTTAAAAGGGACTCACCTAGAATGTGATGACAGAATGTGGGTGAGGACTGAACTACATCTTCATGCCTGTTGCATAAGGGTGGAAGTCTGAGGTCGAGGGCTCTAAGATGTATATTGTTTTACTCCCATTCTCCACCTCTGTCCACTGAGACAGTTCCTTGGCTGAAAAGGGACTCACCTAGAATGTGACGACAGAATGTGGGTGAGGACTGAACTACATCTTCATGCCTGTTGCATAAGGTGGAAGTCTGAGGTCGAGGGGCTCTAAGATGTATATTGTTTTACTCCCATTCTCCACCTCTGTCCACTGAAGCTAACAAAGTAACAGCTCACCCCATTGCTTCTGGCTCAGGCATCATGGAAAAGGAGGTGGAAAGATTGTGAGAGCCTGAGGTCGGGGAGCACTGCTGCAAGACAGCGTCTTCTGGACAACAGGACCGCTGCACTCACGGACTCACGGCAGCCGTGTCAACCTGCACAAGACCTGTACAGCATCAAGCCAGACAACAGTCCCATGTGCACGGGGGAGGAGCACACGAACTTCCCCATAGCTGAGGAGAAACTGGCCCTTGGTGGCTGCTGAGGGAGAGTCAGTTTTCTTCAGGGGTCTGTCCCCTGGTAAGTTGACTGTGCCTCAGTGGATGGCCCTGCACCCATGTGCCTATAGATAACACTGATTGGACTCAGTGCATTTTACACACACACACACACACACACACACACACACACACACACACACACACACACACACAAGCTCCCACATACATGTTTATAAAGTCATGAATTCTGGAATATGTGTTTGGGATTCCCAGAGGAGTTGGAGGTGGGAGTGGGCTTGACTATGATCAAAACACTTTGTATGAATACATGTATGAAATTCACAAAGAATAAACAAATAAAACACATGTTAAAAATGAAAAATATTTTGGTAAAAGCTCACAACGTTGCTGTTACAAGACATGGAATCTCAGCCGGCATGGGAGCACACGTCCAGGCAGTGGAGGATGTGTGAGTCTGTGGCTAGCCTGCACTACATAGAGAGAGCCTGCCTCAGAGACACAAACTGCAAAAAAAACAAAGAACCTAAAATAAGGGGAAATTCATGTTGTAGGACATGGCATGATATTCCTGGGGGAAATACCAAATATATCATGGCTATCTATAGAATCTCTCTCCACCCAAACACCCTAAGGTTTCCTCTTGCCCCTGGCACAGAGATGCACAGCAAAAGTGGGCATTTTGCTATTAAATCACTTTTTTTTTAAACCGTACTTCATCATGGGGAGCTCTCTGAGTTCTGTTTCTTAAGAATTTTGATTTATATATTTGTATTTTATATGTATGAGTGTTTTGCTTACATGTAAGTAAGTGTACCATGTGCATGGAGTGCCCATGGAGGCCAGAAGAGGGCGTCAGATCCCCTGGAACTAGAATTACAGATAAGATAGTTGTTAGCCACCATGTGGGTGCTGGGAACAGAACCCCGGTCCTCTGCAAGAGCAGCTAGTGTTCTTAACTGCTGAGCCGCCTCCCTAGCCCTGAGTTCTGCTTCTTTAGGAAGCAGATATTTAAGTTAAACATGCCCTTTCCCACCATAACATGCTTCTCACAGAAGTGCGGAGCTCACAGGCTGCCCTGTGTTTTGTGGCGGTTAATCCACATCTGTGAAGGTTTGAAAACACTCTGCATCTATCGGAAGGCACAATGCTGTGACACTTGGAGCACATCTCCCCCTCTGAATGGTCTTGGACCACTACACAATAAAGTTGGTGAGAGAAGGTACTGCAGCACGGCCAAGCGTATCAGGCACAGGAGCACGGAGGCCCCTTGTTAAAGCACTTAAGGA